ATATTCTTGTTCTTCCCCGTTCAGTCCGGTGGCTACTTCAAATAATTCACGCTCTGCAGTACAATCGTTCGATGGTTCGATCTCTGTCGAAGGGCTTCGATGGTTATCAACGTCGCTAAGTATAGGTGTGTGTGTCGTAGAATCCGCAAACGGTCTTAGACCTTGAGATAAATGACCCTCAGTCATTTGTTCAATACCATAATGCAAAACTTTGCCCGATTGGCATTCAGGAACACGCTCGTCTACTTGATCCAAATTCATTTGCATTTCTGCATTGGCAGGGGTGAAGCATTCCCATGTGGTCGATTTCACAATACGCCGGTTCAAATTGGTGCAAATGGGTTTAAATTCAGTTGATAAACTGTCTGCTCTAATTGATTTCTCCCTATCTGTGTCCATTAGATTGGTTTTTGAAGATAATACATTAGCAGACAAATCGTCAAACTTGGAGAAGTGTTCGGAAGACGCTGTTTGCCGATCTTTTACAACTTCGCTGTCTAGAAATCGAATACAGAAATGAAAACGGCAAATAAACACGAATAATATTTTTCTTCAAGCTGTGATATGCTGATTAAACTGAAGGGTATCGAGATAAAACTAAAGTTCTGAAGTGTCTACAATATAGAGCACTCATTTTGGTGTTCATTTTCGTGTATGTACGATTGCCTGAAATGAACTTTTAACTGATGACTTGAATTCTTCGAGTTATATTAATATGATAACCATTTTGAGGATAGACCTTCACTGAATTTTATTTTCTAGCTTCATTACTCCAAATGACTCGGATTATTATTCTTACCATTCAAAACAATGCTCACAAAATTAAAGAACTTAAACACAGTGCTGCTGGATTAGTTACTCCCTGTCAGTATCCTATATGAAGGACGTGAATTTCAGCTCCGTTGTTTTACTTAGTGAAATTCGATGACAGTTTTGTTCCAAAAATAAACCTTTTGGAACTGAATTGCATTTACGGGGATCAGGAGAGACAATCTTTGTGGACCACGTACCATGCTCGTTCAATTGAAATCATTCCTTTATTTCTATGGGTAAATTCCATCAAAATAGCTATCGCTTATGACGAGAAGAGTTATGTTCAAGATAAATTTTCCAGAACTCATTCACTTCCCTAATGCGCATTAAGCTTCCAGATCAAAATATACATGGATTATTTTTATAAGCAGTAATATTTTAACTACTACTGTTATTATCAGACGAAAATTAAATTCCAACGAGTCACTTAAATTACTGATGTGCCCTTAAGAATGAGGATAAAGTTATCAAAATATGATGGATGTTTCACCTCCAGTTTCGGTTTGCTTATAGCGTGGTTGCTTCTTCTTCCCGTGTTTCTGACGATCCGGGCGTAAGCTTTTTGCTGCTTGACATCTGGAATTGCAAAGTGCAGACAGCTATTCATTCACCAGGTTAAAGTGAGATGATGAACAGTGACACATCAAAAACTCAAAAGCTGTGGAACAAAATGCGTTCATCTTTCAAGATGAAGGCAGGTAAAATAATTATTGTCCAAATACGATGTGGAGATTTCCGTTTTATATTTCAATGAACCAAGTTTTTTGGAACTCCCCACAAGCCCAATGGATATCATTCTATATAGTCAATAATAATCATTCGTCATTATTCTTCTCAATACAGTCTGTAGTGAGTAGTTGGTGTATTCTGTATACCAATTCGGCGGATTTAATTTGGTATTTCTACCCGAAATCTGCATGGAAGCCCAGATTTTGTGGATGACTTTTAATCGGAGTTACCAGAGAGTATATTGCTGTCCCTTCTTTACAGCCGAGTAGAAAAAAGGAGGAAATTTCGTTGAAGTGAGTCTTGGTATTCCTGGTCATGTCCTGAACTGGTTTGTGCATTGGTATCACAAACCTTCTATCAGACACAGTGGATATACAATACCGGTGAGCACAAAAGTAGAACTCGTATGGTTGATGGGATGAAATAAGGACTGTGTGGGAATATGAATTATCAAGGATTATTGGTGATAACCAATATGAACTATTGCACAACAACAATGACGAGAAGCTATCAGGTAAATATGAAATGCATGGGAATCTATGCACAAAATTCTCGTCTTTATATGTTTCTTACCTGAAGCAAGGGATTGAACCTTCTACACTCAGGTAAACAAAGTGTCCAGCCTTTCCCCCGATACGCACCCCACGTCGATGCCGATACTCACAACAGGTGCTCACGCGTGCGTCCTGATTTCCATCAATACAGAGCGTTAAGGAAAACGGGTACCCATAAGCACGGCGAGAGGTAAATTCGAATTCATCTGTAGACAATGGGGGACCAATGGAAAACGAAGAGACCCTGAAGTTAAACTAACTGTGTAGAACACATTAAACGCCTATCAAAGAGTTATTCCATTGTCTTTGTTATTTTATGATGTAAGGAAACAGCATATTGAATTTACCCAAAAGGTCACACTTGAGATTATGGTATAACACTGAACACAACAATACAACACTTCGAAGAGAGATTTTTCACCAATCGATTAAGATGCATCAACTTGCTCGCACCATAGTAATCATTAGCATACGGAAAATGATAGAAAAAGCCATTTTATCACACTGTTTCTTTTTTACCTCCGGGTTGTAGGTGGCCCTTGAAAACTGTTATTGTGTTTCCTCCATTGGGTTGCTGAATTACGGTGATTAAACGCGCGGTTTTGGTATCACCATCAAACATATGCGAGCGTGGATTCCGGGAGAGCTGAGAGTCAGATTTGCTACTGGATTTCTTTAATTGCTCCGAATCAAATTTCGATGCACCCAAGTACATAAATCGCACGACGCAGGGTGACTGAAGGAAACGGAAATGAAAATTCAATGATCTAAGCTATTATTTGACGCTGCAGTGTTTAGATTACTGACAAAGTGCATAGTAGGTACAGAAGAACGGTAAAAATTTGCCCTTCAGGTGAGGCGCTTAATCCGGATGAAAACGCAGCATGAACGAGCGGTGCACATTGGTTACATTCTCGAGAACGTTTCATCACTGTATTTTCAAGTGAAAGCCAAAAGAATTTTTATACTCTAATGAGGAGTGGAATGTGAACACACCAAAATTCTTGAAGCGCAGCGATATGATATTTGCTTTTCCTAAACATTTAGCAATCGCAAATGTATTGGTGCACAATGAAGTTTATGAATGCGAAGTATAATTACATCATAAGGTCGGAAAGTCTGATCGACGTTGTCTTCATATTCAATGTCCCTGCCGTATGGGCAAACGTATTTCTTCATTAACTGACTAAGGACCACTTATGCACTGTATCGATTGTTCCATCATCGAAATGCTGTGGTAACATACGATAAATCCCTAACTTCGTTTATGAACTATTTTGTAAAACTAAGCTACACTTCTCACATGCATCGCTTTCTTGTATTTTATCTTTTTCAATGTTTAAGAACCCCGATATCTTTAAGAGGTAACTAATTCTTCAAAGAGGATGCATAAAAACATGTGAGTATGAGCAATGCCATTAGAACATTCCCATCCTGGTATGATAATTCCGTTTCCATTGTATTGCACATAAAGTAAGCAAAAGATGCCTTTGCATGTTACGTAACAATGTAAGCAGCCTATAAGTCGAATAAATGTTTCCATATCGTTCAAAGTAACTTTCAATCATTCTGGAAAGACGGGATTCCCTACAGGTGGCTGTCAAATTTGCACTGAATAGACAAAATAAATAAATTAATAATCCTAATTCTGAAGGTATTAAATTTTGAACAAACAACAATGTTGCTCTGAGCCGTCAGCTGATTCAGAAAATTTGCAGATTTCAACGACAATCACTATTCGTGGAAAATCATGCTGTACAATCAAAATGATAGGTGTCAGGCAAGAATCCCACCTGTATTGCCTGTTTGCTGAAATAAGCCTTGATCCATAAAACAATTAGGTGGATTTTTCTATGATTTCGGAGCCAATATGGTTGACAACAAAGCGCTTGCCAGCATATTGCGCAACCCGCTGATAAGAAGGAAACAAAGTCCTCAATCCGTACTACCAGAACTGCTTGTAGTCATTATATCTGGAAAAGCGGAACCAGCGAGGCCAATGATCTCATGAAACACAAACAGCAAAAGCTAAGCTGTCATTTGTTCAGAAACCTCGTATTGCCTTAAAATCAAATTATGTCACATCAGAAATCGTTGATTATTTTGATAAAACAGAACATTGTTAACAAAGAAACAAAATTATAAAATGTATTCGAATGTTCAGCAACAAAAACATTCCCCACCATGTTTCTCAAAAATCGTTCCCCAAATCGAGTAAAATCATGTAACGAAATAGGATAACAAATAACAAGAACCAGAATAATTATTTGAACAGTTCTTGGGAAACATTTGATAAAAGCATAGTGCATTGAACGGATTTAGAAATCAAACAACGGCGTATCACCTTAACCAAATCCGATTTTTCCATGAGAGGTGGCAGCAGCTGATCACTGACTATTTCTTCTTTACTCTTCACCATCTTTGAAAACAAATTTCAGGGACACAGAATGTTGTTTCTGCAAGACTACAGACGTGGATATTTTTCATGAATATTAATTGTCAAAGCAACATTAAAACTCTTTCATTCATGGTAATTCATATTGATACTGAGAATCATGGTTTTCTTTTGGTGAGAGTTTTATTTTAACTGCTTATTGGATTGCCAAATTGAAATCTGATATCTTGTTTACAGTTCCCTATATTGGATACTTCTGTTGCTAAGGGAAGAGAGCGTGCTTCTCTAGGAGCCAATTTCTCGTCTACTCAGATATCCCGTAATAATCCTGTCCGGTTGACCCCAATCGCATGCTTGCCTCAATGCATGATTCACATTAGGCCACAATTCACCACGTCGCTAGCAATTTGGTTGTGGAGAATAAAGACAAAGCTGATAAACATTTGTGTTACAACGTTGCCATGGGTCACCGATTAGCCGAATGCATGTTTTGTGAAAATGACTACACATGACGAATGGATTTTAACCATGAATCTGAATGAAAGGAGCTTTAGTTTCTTCGGCATAAAGTGTTGCGGCAGGTTTGCTGCACCCTAAATCCGGACAGGTCCAGCATAGATAAAAGTAAAAGTAGTCAGTTTATAATTGTTGAAAATCAAAAATGTTTTCGTTATCTTTGGAGTTTCCAAAACCCAACATAAACATTTTGTTTACCTTTTGGTGATCAACACGCTATGGATGATCAGCTAAGGAAAAAACGTTGATCGTTTGCATAGGGTTAGAGGTGCCTTCTACGTTTAGCTGCGCCAATGGATTTTCTTCCTGCGTTCCTTGGCTGTTACAATGAAATTATCGTATTATAGTTGTGTTTACAATTCACAAGTAGTTTCGTATGTACCTAAAGTACTTCATACAAATTTTTACCAATAATCAGACGTTTGTCACACAAAGGTGTGGATCACTTGTGATGAGAAAGCCCAAGCATGCCATTAATTAATAACTATCCCTCCTCTGGTTGGTATTAACATCAGATTAATTTTGGGTAACCTACCATCGTAAATTGAAATCCATCAATACCGAATGTACTTGTATGCGTAATTCGCATTCAAGAATCCTAAATGAATTAAAATTTCAACGAGAAAACTTTGTTTATCAAGAACTTAGATTGCCATGACAACAACATAGAAATAATAGGGATTATGTTCTAGATTATATCAGCTTGAAATTATTTTTCGAGACTAGAATGTCTTTACTGTTTTCTCATTTTATACCTTCCAATATATTCTAACATGGAGTCTGCGCATCATTCAGTTCTAAACATCGAGACATTAGTCTATGAAGTAACTTTACTTTACTCTTTTGGTTCCCTCACTTTCTGAAAGCTTGAGTATAAGTCATGCACATATTGATTTGACAGACCTCAGCCTCGTTCCACTCGAAGATGCCACTTTAAATAAAGATGTCAATAACCAAACGGAACTTGTTCGTTAGCAGTTAAATGCTTTTTTCTTTACCAATGATAAATCGCTCATTTTATATAGGCCGAAAATCTATTTTCGGTGACTATACCAATCCCTGGTAGTCACTAAACAGTTAAAGTTCACATCCAAGAAACTTTCAGATGACCAATCTGCACGCTCTAAAAAACCTTTGTATTTGTCACCCTTCTTCTTTTCTAACACTCCACGTACACATTTGAACATTTTACTATCATACAAAACAATTTTCGAACTTTGCTGTAGCTATGTGACCTATTTTTCATAATAGTAGCCTAAACTCTGCGCTACTTTCCTCAAATAAGACCAAAGGAAAGTGCCCAGAAAAGACGGCACCGTGTATTGATCAAGCTCAACTCCATCACTATGAAGAATGATATAAACGCTTGAATAGAGCGTTTTCTCACCGAATTTTATAAATCCCTACCAACAAGAATCTCTGGTAAGGCATCAGGCTTTTAAGCGGAGAACCTGCGGGGATCAGAAGTGCCATTTATGATCCAGACAGCCCCAATGTTGTCGTCATTCATCAAACCATCGATACCCTTCTATTATTAACAGCCCGGCTTCCATCCTAAAGAGAACCGAATTACCCTGAAGAAGTTACTGGATCTTCTTAAAACTAGCAAATTAAGAACTGACGATCTGTCGTCTACCTTAGCAAAATACTGAACCGAGGTTCTTACACAGACAATGACAGCAATTAAAAACACATCTTTCGAAGCTGGTGGTATCTACCTCTTTATGAAAACCTGACATTTTTGACTTGTTTTTACAATCATTTCCATCAACTTGCTTTCTAAAAGGTTTCGACCTATGGCTTTGACCTCCACAGTACTTCAACTAACCGGAGGGGCTTTTCTTATCCACTTGAATTCCTCGACTGTAGTCTGTGATGACCGAAATCCGTTTACATACAAGCAAAATAAATTGACCTTTAATGTGGTTGCTTCCGATTCCCATCTCGCAGTTCTGTTCGGTAAGCCTTGTTGATTCACTCGAAGCCCCAATCTCTATTTCAAGAATTAGAACACTCCCACTTTTCCTTGTAAGCTTTCATATAGTTAGAATATCACTTTCCAGCGAATCTCAATGTACCAAACAAGGTTGGCAAAAGATTCCGAAAATCCCTGGTGAATTATTTTGGTGTTTTTCACAGTGCATTTCGATCTCCATGGTTTTTAAGGCATATATCATCGTGTTCACGGATAAGGCAGATGATCCGGTGCTCAACCGGGCTACTTCTAATCCGTACAACTTGAATTCAACAAGAATGTACGTGAAATTTCTAATTATTTATTGAACTTTTGCTCCAATGTTAACGCATCTGAATCCCATAATCATATTTCACCCGAACAAGTCTCTGAAGAATAAAACTGCTCCCATCTCAAGATTTCAGTCTTTGCGGTACCTGAATACCCTGACAAGTACTCATTAACGTTGATCTTCTCACATTAAGTAAACGCTAAAGGCTGTTGGTTCAAATTTGTAAACTTGGACAATTTGCAGCAGGACGTCGTCATTAGATCGCTTTTAAACCGGTGTGGCTCACCTATTTCACTTCTACGCTACCCCCTTATTTCTCCTTGTTCATTTAGGAAAAACCTGCAGACTCTTCACCGTGGTTCAGCTGCCATAAACTTTTATACAATATCCCCGCTATCTCACTCCTCGGTCTATTGGGTGACCAGCACAGGAATTTAATGAAGAGTCTGCAAACAGAATCCTCACTGAGAGCACATATTCCTTGCCTCATGATTTGCTTGGATATCCACTCACATAAATCCACGCGATCCCAATGGTAACTTATTTGCTTCTACATAAACGTCTACTGTGATTTTCGAGTACTGCTGAAACTTTGGCTAAGATAGAAGCTACAGAAGATTTTCGTAAAAAATTGGTGGCTAAGGAGTTTAGCACTTGTCGTAGTCTTCCGTCCTTTTGCATTTTTCACATTTTTTCCTTGGAACAGTAAACGAAGTTTTTTGTAGTCAATTTTGGCTGAGTGGAATGTAAGGCTCGTTTGAGTTACATAAATATGCATACACTGGCTACACAATGTTCTCCAGTTTCAATTATAACTTCCAATCATTATTTGTACGCTTCACTTCATAAATCCAAATACGATGAAACAAACGGTCTATAAACAAGTTGTCTATTATCGTAAAATTTAGTTAAAATTGAGCACCAATGTATTCACTAAATGCTAAATTTAATGGAACTCAATAATTGATGCTTTATCCGCTCTGGACTCAAATAAGCAAGCAAATAGATAATGGTTCATCGAAATTACTGCGTACTAAGTTAGAATTCAGTTCGCTTTCAATTTCATTCGTGAATGTTAGGTTACCATTCACTTATAAGTTGTCACTAGCTACTTGCAAACAATTTTTGTTGTTAGGGCCGTTATTATTGCTTGACACACAAATTGACGTCAAGTACAATAAGAAATCATTGTCATTTCGACAGTAGAAAACCAACATCATTCCACACATTATATATTTAGCACCTTTTATCTAACCACTATTCGTTCGCTTCTATTATTTTCGCAAAAGAAACTCTAAAGATGAATAATAGTCACAGATATTTTCTATGGCTGAAAAATCAATGTTCACTTAGGAGACTAATTATCACTCACTTCATTGGACACTATACTATGCTTTTTATTTGGGAAAAGAACATTATCAGTAACTGTCCGGTCCGCATTTCTATCTTCCACGTTGGTAACGGTAACCATGGTTTCAGCTTGCGCATTGCTAAACTTCGGTCGTGATAGACACTTCTTTTCCAGTTCTGCAGTTAACGCTGCACGTGATTTGATATTTTCTGCCGTGAGGATAGTATTGCACAGTCTTGAACGGCAAATCAAACGCTTCGAAATTTTACGATCTGCTGTACTCTCTATCAGCACCTCTTTGATTGGGTTCTCTGTTGAAAATACAAGCGCTGATGTATAAGTATTCTTTTTATCCGATGAGTCACATCCGGTGTTTTTCCGATCAATCTCCCTCCGTCTGGCGGATTTCTTGCTCTCCTCACTTTGAGTAAAATTTTCGTAATGCGATTCACTGACTTTTCGGGCTTTTTGATTATATAACACGTTCCGCTCGGCCTGAGATAATAGTTGCATATTGGAAGTGACGCTATGTGAACGACTGGATGATTGAGAATGTGAACCACTGCGGTAATAACGTTCGGAATGGCCATGGTGTTCAATGGAACACTGGGTCTTTTGTTACAGGGAATCAAATTGCAAATTATTAAAAGTTTGACTGCTTATTGTTTAAAAATCAGTACCAATATTAATAAATAATTGGAAAAATAAAACGTTTAACTTAATTAAATTAGAATTCAGATTGTGGAAACCTTTAATTGCAAAACTAAGACACATGGGAACAACCAATTTATGTACACCTCCATGCAACAATAATCTGAATCTTCCAAGGTCTCACAATGCATATGCGGCATACGGCATTTACTAGCTCTGAAAACAGGTCGTAATTTAGAGAAATTAACATCACTGTCGAGCATTTTCATCAGTTTTTGTTCCTTTTTAAATGTTACAGTAAGTTTCTAGACAGAGAAAATGAAATTGATATTGTGATCAGTTCTCGTTAATTGACAACACAAACAACTCAAAGAACAACAACAACCAATGCCTTCGTTATTTTATCCCCAAAAGTGATATGGAGCAATTTAGTTTATCTTGGTATTTTTTTATCCGGATGATGCAGATTATTGTTGTCACCCTCTAGCTTCAATGATAGCCAGTTTGAGATAAAGTGGCGAAACAATCTGTAAAATGACCTGCGTTAGGTCAAAACAGCCTCAAATGAAACATTCGCTATAGCACGGCTTCATTTTAAACTGCATTTCGGTGATCTTTGTTCGAAAAATCAGCAGTCATAAAATTCACCAAATTTTATCCCTGCGGCGGAGGTGATACTTAGACTGGAAGAGTGAACCGTCCCCTATTACAACCGACGCTCGTAAAACATTGCCTCAAAGGTTCGTTTCATAAGGACGATTCGGGGTCATTAATCGCAAAGCACCTTATGGGGACTGGAAACAAGGGTGGGTTATGCCAGACCTCAATCTCAAGCTGCAGGCATTCAATCACGAAATACAAATCAAACTACATCATCACGGCGAGACTGCACCTTGACATGGTGTGATGGCTCGCGTGCCTCAATGACCCTGCGAGCTACACAGGATGGC